TAATTTTTCTTATAATCTATTTCACCGACTAACTCCGTAAACGCTGTTGGATAAAGATATCGTATCGGAATCGAACGTTTAATGCGGAATGTTCTGAAAAGCTCGGAAAGCGCCCTTCGATTCGAGAACGATATCTAATCGAACGATTCGGTTAAAATATCGAAGAGTTCTGAATCGGGAGCCAGACCCGGGCGGTGATCGAACTCGGGGCCTTAGAGATGGCGACACCATGAAAACCGGTGTGCAAGCCACTCGACCACGGAGGCCGTCGTATTTAACATACATTTTACAAAATTTTATCGTCCAATGTGAACGCGGCTGTTAGGATCGTATACATCGGTGTTTAGATTATGAATGTGTATCGATAGACACGTGTAGAAGCAGCATTGTATCCAGCTAGTAGCGACACGTGATGACACCTTGGCCCCTGTGATTCATTTTGTTAACGTAGATGTAATTTGTTGGTCAATAAATAAAAACATTTGGAATAATATTGTTTTTCTTTCATTTACCTAGTGGTGAACACGCAAAGAGTGCACAATACGTCCCTCTGGAATCCCGGAATGATTATAAATAAAAAGAAATTAAACCAAAATAGTTGCCTATATTTTTATTCACAATTAAGTAAACTTTTTCACAAATACAACAACATAGTAAAGTACGCAATAATTTAAGGTTTTCAGAGGGAGGTATTAGGCGCCTCGCAAACGTGTGTCTTTCAGATACAAACAACCGGCAACTAGAAGTGAATATTCTATTTTGAAAGTAGAAGTAGTTCTAGTCGTCAGTTGCTTTTTTATTTATTTTTTATAATACCAAGTGATAGGACGAACAAGGTCCATAACAGTTGCAGTGCCACTCAGTGCTTTAAATCTCAAAGACCTGAGGGGCACTGCTACAGCGTCCGTCACCCTGAGAGACAAGTTGAAAAATACCATGTGCCCAGCATTGCCAATTTGTGGGGAATTTCAACTAGATTGGGGATTGGCGGTATGTGGGGATTCTAACATTTTATCATTTTGTGTAATCTATCAATTGCTGATGCATCGCTAGTTTGATCGTTACTGTTAGAAACACTGAGAACTATATTGACGTGTTTTTCAACATCGCACATCCCTCGTATTATTAACAAGCAGCTTAAATAGAATTATTATCAGAGCAAGTGCTCTGATAGTTTCAGGTTCTGAATTGTAAAATTACCAGTCGGTGCGTGTTGAGTTCGCGATTCTTTCTTCGCTTAGGCCGGTCCCCGGTATGAAGCAAAACGAAATCAGATTGATAAACAAAGCCGAGCAGTTGATACTTCCACACCACAACTTACCACTCGTTAGCATTAAATATTGGTCGAAGCTCGTTGATTATTTCTAACATTAACATAGTGTAAGGCAAAGAAAAAATTTTTTTTTTTCAGACTGATTAATGTTGAATCTAATTAAAATAAATAAATGATTTAAGGTCATCTAATTTTATAATTCGTTTCACATTCTGTTTACATTCACAGCAAACGTAATAGATGGTTACATTTTGAGTTTCTTAATTCTTTATTATATTTTTAAGCGATGTATTTCTAATAAATAATGAAAACTCGAGATGTGGGTAATTTGTGGGGAATATGAACTTTGTTCTTCTCCAATTTGGGTATTTTAACCGTGATTTTTGGGGATTCTGAACAATTGGCGTTGGCAACGCTGCATGCGCCTGTAATTTCACCAGCACCCATACCCTACAAAACTGGCGGCAGAAATAAATAAATAAATGGCTGCGTAGGGTTGCCAGGTCTTAAAACCGGATAGCCGGATATTTGGGTAAAACGGCTGGACACTACATTTTTAAGGATTTTGTGTCGTGGTTTTAATACGACAATTTTTTTAATGTAGCCACGCTTTTTTTATGATTTATAAAAAAATCTTGTATTAGCAACAAAAATTGAATAAATTATTTCTTTATTTTTAAGCATCTATTGCATCGAAAGCCTCGCACGCCCGAACGACCGCGTATCTGGTCCAATATAAAACGCCTAACAAAAGCTGGACATAGATTTGACGGGACACGCATCCAAAAAGCCTATGTTCGGCTTTATCCGGACGCCTAGCAATGCTAGTGTTGATGCTTATCCGTAGGCAGCCAGACAGGTGTTCCTTCCTTTACTTTGTTTGGGTATAATAGTGGAATCTTCTTCTATGAATTATTTTGATTATACTGATATGTATTTATCTTAAAAACTTATAAAAAAACATTACTATGCGTGTGGTAGCAAGATATGTCGCCGAATGATGACTCTTCCTTAATTTCCCCTCGCGCCACTCGCGTCATTCCGCCGTAGTCGCAGTTTGATCGCGCGGTCACTTGATAGCGTAGGTAAATAAATATTATAACGTCTGTTGACGTATATCATATGACGTATATGAATATGTGTGAAAGTTGCCTCCTCTTTCAGTAAAAGTTTTTTTTTCAGCCCCCGTAGCATGGCTACGTATGATAGTCGCGACACGCGCGAGATAAAATTAAAATAAGCGCGCGCTATTGGCCGTCTCAATCAGATCTAACTTAGATCTAATGTAGTCATGCTACGGGAGCTGTACACGTACGGTAAAAAGTAATGATATTAATGTTACAATTTAAACAAGTTTAAATTAATTATATTTTTTATATCTTAAAAATTACTGGTAATCTTGCCTGCTAATTTGTTGTTTCTACGTTTTATCGACCGGCTTCGACACAGTCGCAACTCAAAAAATGGCAAAAGTGGCAAGTTTTAGAGGTGTTATTTATACAGGTGTGCCATGGTTATGCGAGACACGGAGTAAAAGTATTATAATATCAGTTTAAAAACAATGGAGGTTTTATTTCCTTATACTTAAATATTTCTTAAAATTTCACTCGTCTTCTCTTACGTGACGAATAGTAGGGGGTAAAGTTAGGGATGTAAATAAGACACAGTTATTAGAAAATTGACTAAATCCAGTCTTTGCTTTTATTGTGATTTCATTAATATAATCGTGTATTTCACGTTTAATTATTATAACTATATTAAGACGAAAGTGGGAAATTGTGGGTAGTTCCCATTTGGTCTATTGAACATGACGTCATCAGACAAAACGCAACAATTTTTGACTTATTCGGACAGGTAATATTTTCTTTTTATAGGACAAACTATAATATTAAGAGTATTAAATTTATAAGTAAACTTACTCTTTTTCCAATAATCGTAATTTTATTTTCAATATTTTTGTATTATTTAGTTCTGCAATATAATTTTTGTTTTATTTGGTTTCATGGTATGTATGTAATTTCGTTTATATTTGAGACGAAAGTTTTTTTATAATAATAATAATCACGCACACACTTAACGTAACCCCGCACTAGGGAAACCCTGTGTCGCGGGTGTCATAGACAACCACAAATTACACCCAAACTCACGAGAGAAATAATTGTAGACCATACAAATGTTTCTCCCGGCCCGGGAATTGAACCTGGGACCTCTGTGTGGCAGTCCGGCATGGTAACCGTTCGGCCACAGAGGCAGTTATATCAAAAACCGGGACGAACAAGCCATATGCCTGGTGGTAAACTGCACGCCTGTCCATAACTGTTCAGTGCCACTCAGAGCTTTAAATCGCAAAGACCTGTGGGGCACTGCCACTGCGCCTGTCACCCTGAGATATAAGTTGACAAGTCCCATGTGCCTGTAACTTCACCAGCTCCCTTACCAGTTACTTACCACTTTTATATAAAACTTTTTTTATGCAACATCGATGTTATTATGGAACAATTTGGGGAAAAAATAGATTTTCATGTAATTCCATGATGACAATAAGAAGTGCGCTCGCGGGCAATGCTAATATATTGTTCTATAGAAAATACTGAGGAATTGTCTTAATTTGTTCGATGACGTCATGTTTTATTAAAAGAGATGGGTACTACCCGAAATTATCTAACAAAGTCTTTGATTTGCATTCAGTTGATGCATAATGTAATGTTAATTCAATATAATAATATAAGCTATCTATTTTACTGTAGTCATTCACATGCGTCCCATGCCGAGCAGGGGTCTCCTATAGGGAGAGATTAATCGTTCAAAGTTCCATCATTTGTTCCATTTTTTGGTTCAAATCTTTTTAAATAATGTTCAACTAACATCCAAATTACATTAAAAGCAACCAAATTATTGATAATAACTCACACTTCGATTCTTTTATCGTTCAATTTCAATACATTATCTAGATTAATTTTAGTTAAAAAAGATTCAGTTAAACAAGTTAAAACTAACTATAAGAACTTAAAATAAAGAAAGTCGGTACCTGTGGCAGTATTCATTACTTCAGTTTCTGGTGAAATATTGCTTAAGGTTAATCAAAGATTTAACGAGAAGAAACGGTCATAATTTGGCCCCTTAACATGTAGTGAAGTTAAAAAAACATACATTGAACACCTACTATCTCAGGGCTTAAAAGCAATTGGTCAGCTTCAACAGCAACCCCAGGATCACCAGTAATATCCATAAATACACATAAACATTTAATATACAATGTGATTTTTTAAACTGGGATAGTAAGGGGAAAGTTAAGGGGGAATAGCAGATGCAGGAAAATTGTCTTAGGTGGTTCCTAATCCTTATGTTTTGTGAAAAGAAATTTGACATAGTAAATTTTTTGGTCAAGCGTGAGTTGTCCATAATATAAATAATATTGTAATTTTTTTTTAATGCTGATTAACTTAGTTTCTTGCAGGGACAATTTTTCATTGTATCGAAAGAAAAAGTCGGGACAGAGGTTGGTCAAATTTAATAAAATGTCTTTGCATACAATATGAACATACTAAATTAATCAGTTTTTTTATGATACAAAGCGATGGGACGAACAAGTCGTGCGCCTATTGGTAAGCGACACGCCTGTCCATAACAGTGGCAGTGCCACTCAAAGCTTTAAATCGCAAAGATCTGAAAGTTCAAGTACGTAATAATTTTAAAAATGTCAAATTTGTTTTCACAAAAAAAGAGTTCCTAAGGCAATTTCCCTGTATCTCCTATGATTTCGGATACATTCCCAGTAATTAAAACACGCTGTATAATATCGTCCCTTTACTAAGGGTGTCACCATGCTTATTAACGCGAAATCGGCTTGAGCCAGTCAGAAAAAGTTTTATGTGCAATACAGAAAACTTCATTAATTAATTTGAATTTAATTATGAAGTACTGAGACCTCAGATCAGACCTGCCAGTCCTCTTCCTGTAGTCACCTTAATGTTAGCTAGTTATTATTATTGCTAACAGCTCTGTCCCATCTCCAAATCGTACCATCATCGCAGCATGTTAATAAAACTTTGCCGTTTCTGGAAAGGGTCACCTGCAAAGAGATATGCTTTGATTGACAGAAACTCTTTTTTTTAATATAATAATATCAAGTGACGGGACGAACAAGTCGTGAGTCTGATGTCAAGCTACACGCCTGTCCATAACAGAGTCCGCGCAGAGTTTTAAATCGCAAAGATCTGAGAGGCACTGCCACTCCGCCTGTCACCCTGAGACATAAGGTGGACACTTACCCTTCAAAACCTAAAAATGGTCGCATTACTCCTTGGTGCGGGAGAAACAGGTAAGGTGGCAGTACTTCTCTACTAATAAAAACCAAAAATTCGTTAAGAAAGTTTGTCGTCGCCGGCCAGAAACCGCCATCGCCAGAAGACATCACTACTTTAGCCTCTTACAATAGTAATGGGAGTAACTTACAATTTTGATGAGAATGAATTATTTATGTCACAAGATAGAATATTAAATTTTGAATCGAGGTATGTACTAGTATTACTCCAAAGAGAGGCCGGGAAGTAAAGGATTGTTGGACAAGTATGAGTTATACTTGTGTTCGATGTAATCGAACACCTTTAACGTAAGCGTTTGGCGGCATGCGCCGGTCGCCTTTACTAGTGCATTTCCACAAGTCATACAAATCGGGTGCATTCATAACATTTAACATAACATTTTTACTATTTTTAACAATAAACTTTATACATTTAAACTGTGTTTATCAACATCAACATCAACAATCACCACTACCCCGAACAACTTGTATTATATGAGTCAGGCAACCCCCGTTCTCGCCGAGGTATATATAGTGTTATTCCTCAAATAATGCGAGGAAATATAAAAAATACAAACAAAATTCAAATAAAACAGAACTTCAAATTATTTTAGTTTATTTCATCTCCTTTTTTTAAGTATGTGGTGCAGGTATATGTATGAATGCACCTTAATTCGACACGGAATAAGTAATACCATAGACAATATTTTTAATTGTCACAATTACGGACACTCAAGCTAATGAGCAGTTGGCTGTATGACAGTTTTTTAGTCTGTTTACATAGCCCTTTGTTAGTAGATATATTATTAAGTTTAGAGTAGCGGACAGTAATGGATTTTCATACTTATTTTGTCGGCCTAGGCAGTGTTGCACGCACCATAAATTACAAATTTTATGGGATATTTTTTGAGAGTAATATTTTCCGAGCATGTTTGAAAAAATAACTTTTTCATCACACTTGCTCGTAAGTAGTTATATAACGTGCACAAAAACTAGGTGGTATTTTTCTCATAAGGTCCGGAGGCCAGTAACGGTTTTTCACATTCCATCGAAAGCGGTGGCTGCAAAATCTGTGCTTTGCTTTTGAGTCAATTCTTACCAAATACGACCTATTTGAGTAACTGCAGAACATACAAGCTGTTGATCATTATCCCTTAGTCATTGGTTTTTTTTATTCTCACCTTTAATTTTAATTTCTGTGTTTCTCTGTTTAAGCAATTTATTGTATTAAATTTGTTGTGCGTGTTAGACATATAAAAACGGGTTTTATTATCTTGCCGGCCGCAAAGATCGAGGACAAATTTTTGTCGCAACCTCCAGCGGTGAATTTTTTGTATTTATTTATTAAAACTAATGTAAATACAGTCGGCTATTTCATTTAACATTTTTGTGAGATATTTCCTTATAGATACAATGGCAAGCATAAATTTAAAAAAGTTATTTTACTTGTTCGCAAGTGTTTTCAAAAACATTGTATGCCATGCGTGGAGGCATTAACGTGCCTAACAGGTGGGAGTTTGGATTCCTGTTTTTATTATGCTATGGTATTGATTTCAACGCGAGATATATGGTGTGTTCCTTACCTGTCTAACGGCGGCCTGGCAGCGGGGGTGCATGAGCTGGGAGACCCGGCTGCCGCCCGCAACGCTGCCCAGCTCCCACACCATTGTCTTACCACACTGGTTGCCCAGAGCTATTACCTACGAACATATATGGACGATTTAAAGATTATAGAATAGGTCGTATTTCGAAGTTTGACGTTACATAAAGTGTAGATACAAGTTCTTCGTGAAACCTCTAAATCATAGTTTCCCAAAGTGGTCCCTATCCTAGTGGGCGCTGAAGAGTCCTAGTGGGACGGTAGCGGCCTCGGAGGCAGTTGAGGGGCGTTGATGCTGTCCTGGGGGTACTACCGCATTTGAAAAAAACTTGCACTATCTATATAAACTACATTTATTTTTTCTTGTGATTTTTTGTGTCAAGTTAATATAAAAAATACGTGTTTTATATTATTTTTTTGTGTTGGTGGACATTGAAATTTTTTCTCATCTTCATCTTGCCTAAGTGGGCGGTGATCCAAAAGGTTTGGGAACCTTTGCTCTAAATAGTCATTAATAACCAATGATCGTAATTGAGGCAGTTAATTTATATTATAATATAATGTGGACATTCCCTTCTACCAATGCCGGGAATTCTCGGGACTGATTACATTTAATTTCTTTTTTATAACCTCAAGTGACGGGACGAACAAGTCGTGCGCATTACAGTTAGAGTGCCACTCAGAGCTTTAAATTGCAAAGATCTGAGGGGCATTGCCACTGCGCCCACTACCCTGAGATATAAGTTGACAAGTACCATAATGCCTGTAATTTCACCAGCACCCATATTCTTCAAAACCGGAATACAGTAAAGCTGACATACTGCTTGGCGGCAGAAATAGGTAAAGTGGCAGTACTATCCTGGACGAACTCTTTCACAAGGAGCTCTACTGCTACTAACATATGCGTTTTATTTATTGAAATTTGATTACATAGGCGACAAATTATTACTTCCTATTAAGTATTTGCTACAAATTATTGTCTCAAAAAATATTATTGTAGTTGTGTATAGGTACTTACGTATATAAATACTCTAGCCATTTAAAAGTAAACAAGAGACAACCAATATTTTGGAATGTATAGAAAATAAACAGTAACAAAAAGAAGCGTCTGAAGGCACGGAAGTGATGAACACATTTTGTAAGAGGTTCTATTGTAACTTTCAGTGTGCGATACTAAAAATATACATTTCCATTGAAGATTTCGAGTTTTGAGTACCAGTAAGAAGAAATTTGGGAGACTAACTTTTCCAAATTGATTCAGGCTTGGGTAGTGTCTTGGAGTGAATTTTGTTGGCCTGGTACTTTTAGCATGGGGTATTTACTAGTTTGAGAACCAGCAATTTGATAGTTTGGCACATAGTATTATTTTTAAAAACTAAACATTTTAAGCAAATAAACAATAAGAACGAAATTGCGAGTAAAAATGTTATTTTTCACTACCTGCATTTGGAACTAAAGTAATTTACAAGATTTTGATACAGGTTCAGAGAGAAGTAGGCAGCAAACAAGTATACGGCCCGCCTGATGGAAAGCGATCATCGTCGCCTATTATAATTATAATTACTGGGAACGAACGCCTGCAACATCAGGGGGAGTTGCAAACCCTTTAGTACCCTTCTCAAACCCCTTTTGAAGGACTCCATGCTGTATTCCTGCCAGAAAACCCAGACAAGGAGTTCATTCCACAGCCTAATTGTACTTGGAAGGAAGCTCGTCTGAAACCGTACAATACGAAATCGATTCGGTTCTAAAGTGTGAAGATGGACTCCCTGCCGGTGGCGAGCGGTGCGATGATAGAATGTTTCTGTTGCCATCATGTCAAACAGTTCTTCAGAACGTTGGCCATTGGACAGGCGATAGAACCGACAGGGAGGCAAAGTCTCTCCTCTCAGGTTTAAATTGTAGGACTTTATTCAATATGTCCAAACTCAAGTTAAGTGAGAACAGATGAGACTCCTCTGCACCACTTTAACCATTATTGCCTTGTAATGGATATAGAAAACGCACTTCTCGGTAAACATATGCCCCACCCAGAGGAGGTAAATAATCTGAACTTAGAAATTCTTTTAAGTCTGTTGACTTTCGCTCCGAGTTGTAATTAGTGGTGATCTTTTAAATATAAATTTGCACAGGCCCTTAATAAGTCACCCAAATAATCACACTGGAACTGTAATGCTATACTGATTTTATAAACTCTATTTTTACCCTCTGGCTATAGTCGACGGCGAAACGAATGAACCAAATCTCGCACTCTTTGTAGTCGAATCTGTGCACTATGGTGACCGAGTTATCGCCTGGTCGTAACTCCGTGTCTTCGAGTCGGCCTGGCTTCCAGCAGATTATCGCATTCTCGCACGACTACAACAAAAAAAATTAGAAAAATATTGATTTTTTGATAGTTCTGAATAATAATTACAGGGAAGTCGTCAATTGCCGAATTTAGACTACCCCAATACAGATTCATGTACGACTCACAGCTGGACACATTCTTCTTGAAGAGCAACTTTTAGTCCTTAGCCCACCACACTGCGCGGTTAGGCTGCTAATAGATTGGCTGCATATGGGGTTCTTAGGTTTTCGCGATTGTTACGCATAGAAAAGAAATAATTTTTCCGAATTTAAAGCGCGTATATTTGTTTTTTCAAACAAACCAACGTCATGGTCACGGTTGATAGAGGTGGTAAAAAACAAATATACGCGATTTTAATACGGAAAAATAGTTTCATTTCCTAGATTGAATGCATATTTGCAGTTAATGCGTGAAGACGTAATCAACTTTAATTAGCCGAGACTTCGACTGCATGACGTTGATAACGACTTCACACATTAATTGCATGTAGTTGATCTCGGATGCATGAAGTCGGTTTCGACTGCATGCAGTTAATGCGTTAAGTCGTTATCCGGCTGCATGAAGTTGATAACGACTTCACGCATTAACTGCATGCAGTCGATCTCTGTTTCACGAAGTCGGTTTCTACTGCATGCAATTATTGCGTGAAGTTGTTATCAACTACATACAGTCGAGGTCTCGGCTGCAAACATGCAGTCAATCTCATAGCACAGCCTTAGGGTTCGACATCAATAGTATCATTATTTTGTTGCTCCAGGCTCCGTGATAATTTTTTTTAATTATCGGAGCGGGACAGCGATATTGCGCTCTTTCTCCCACTTACGCGCAGGACGGTGCATTACTGCAGTTGATAAAAGCTATCGATTTAGATGACATTTAATTTTTTGTAATAGTGTAAGTTGGAATGGAAATAAAATATAATTTATTTGTTAAATTCAATGGAAATTAAACATACAAATTTACAATATTAAAACGTTAAAACTGGACGGACTGGATCTTTAGTACCTCCTAAATGTTAACTCAATGTTGATAACAATGGTATAAGAATAAAAAAGGTGCGATAATTATTTAAACAATAGTAGATAATAATTACTCATTGACCTTAGCACCGACCGTGCGCCCTTAGTGACTCTTCTGACTTTGTTTTGTTTGGTACAGGTTTAAGGTGGTTTTCCACTGGCGAGGCGAGACGAAATTTTTATGACAAAATTTCAATTCTGTCTTAGCCCATCTTCGATGGAAATGGTCTTGGATTGACGAGGATGGGCGAGGCGAGAATTGAAATATTTGTTGATGTAACATTGAACCATATTGCTGCCTACGGTATACTCTGCAACGGAAACACGATTTCTCGCGGGGGCTCGCGCGATCTCGCGATGGCTATTAATACTAATCGTGAAATTGTGGAGTACGTACTATTTGCGTTTAAAAAAAAAAGATGGTTTCATCTGATTCTTGTAGGAAAATCAGATCGCAGCGCGAGCTATTAATGGCAATTTTTGGTGGAAATAGGCGGCGAGGTTTCAATTCTCGTCTCGCCGGTGGAAAACCATCTTAAAGGTGGTAAATAGCAACCACCACTAAAAGTTTGCGCGAGCTCGCGCTGTGATTGCGGTTAGTAAAGAAACTAGAGAAGATTCAGTACTATTCTGTTCATCTAGCGATAAATACACGGCTTAAGAGCATAGCCCGTAAATTATTATTATTATTAAATATGCTGACGGAAGAAGAATCAGATAAAACCATCGTTTTATTAAATCTCAAATCGTACATACCCACAATCTCGCGATTGATATTAATAGCTATCGCGAACTCGCGCGAGAAATCGTGTTTCCGTTGCAGAGTACATTGCTCTATGAAGTCAGCAATACGGTTCAATATTACATCAAAAAATATTTTAATTCTCGCCTCGTATATCCTCGTCAAATCCTGTCTTGGATTTCCATCGAAAATGGGCTAGGAGGGGATAGAAGTTTTGTCATACATATTTCAATCCTCGTCTCGCTTCGCCGATGGAAAACCACCTTTACATACGCGTCGCGTAAGCTCAATACTAAGCAAGTGGGAGAAAGAGCGCAATATTGCAGTCCCTCTCCCACGATTTATAGCAGACTGTGGAGTGGTAAATAATCATACTACAGGTTGCATGTTTTCTTTGACCATCCAATAATTCTTCAACATAAAATTGTTGAAGAAACAACCACAAAAACTTTACAGTAAGTTACCTTGGACAAAATGAGATCTCCCATCCACCGAACACAATCCACATAATTTCTGTGTATATCCCTCGTAGAGAAGTCAGGGAAATGCTCTTTCAAAGAATTAAAAGGTCTTAGAGCCCGATGTGGGTTAAAATTATAACTTTGCTTTATGGCCTCGTTCATAGATGGCTTATCCAGTCTCCATAGTTTTAAAGAATGATCCATTCCACAAGACATGATACGTTCTCCTTTGAGATCAAAATCAGCACTTAAAACTTCATCTCTGTGACCTTCCACTCCACCAAAAATAGCAATACAAACATCAGTCATAATGTTCCACAGCCGTAGAGCATGATCTTTGCTAGCTGACAGAAGAAGGTTAGGATCCCGCGGGTGAAACTTAACTTCGTTGATAGCATGGCCGTGGCCTATGTAATGTTTGATACAAGTCTGTGAAGCAGGGTGAAAGATCCGAATGATGCCTCGTGATCCTGCCACAGCGAGCAACGGAAGACCGGTTTCTTCTTCATAAGACCATGCACAAGTGTAGAATGTTTCATCAACCTGTTTCAATAATAAATTATTAAATGTAATTAACTTCCTTTTCTGATTTTTGGTACAGTCAACATAAAATTTACGTGAACAATATTTTTGCTTAAATTTGAGTGCGCAATATCTGCATATTTGACGAAAACCAAGCTTAAAGAAATTAAGGTGCATTTAACACTGTAATTAAACACAATTGAAAGTTATGGTTACAAAGATTTTACTTGTGACAACCATGTTTGATACCTTGTAGTTTTGAAAAAGTAATAATTTAATAAAAATACAAAAAAACCATACATCAGGATCCGCATAGCACTGTAGAAACTTGAAGCCTCCGGACTCTGGACATTCATAAATGGAAACTCGGTTGCTTCCCACCACGGCAAATACTTGTGGTTCGCCTTCCGCAAGGTGGTGGTTGAATTGGCAACCAAATAAAGGTTGGCCATGATCCTCTTTTGCACTACAGCTGTAATACAAAGTAAGTGTTGTGTAAGATTTTTATTACTAAAAATTTATTACTGGCTTTTGTGCTAGTAAAGCTCCTTGTTAAAGAGTTAATTCAGGGAAGTACTGCCACCTTTCCTATTTCCGCCACCAAGTAGTAATGTGAGCATTACTGTGTTCCGGTTTTGAAGGGTGAGAGTACTGGTGAAATTACAGGCACATAGGCCTTTTCAACTTATCAGGGTGTCAGGCGCAGTGGGAGTGCCCCTCAGATCTTTGTGATTTAAAGCTTTGAGTGGCACTACAACTGTCATGGACAGGCGTGACACTTACCACCAGGGGCACGACTTGTTCGGCCCATTACTTAGTACATTATAAAAAAAAAAACAATGTCTATAATGTAAATATAACCTTGAACAAAGGGAATAGTATACTAAATATGTTTTATTGTAAATAAACTGACATTATCTACATTTAGCTCTTCCAATTAAAGATAGTAAATTTTATCTACTAGGCTGAGGAGCTTTTTTGTGGTCACTGGGCACCTAGACCTCCCCAAAAAACAACTACGCATTAGTAATCTATGACCCACCAATTAATACAACTTCCATTGATATTTTGTATGATTTACTTACTTAGTACTATAGATACAGGCAGTTACTTGATTTAGCCACTGGTAAAAAACACTTACTTGAACTTATATGGAGGTTTGACTTGTTTAGTAGTCTTCTTTTTGCCGCGTCTACGTTTCTTCACACGGGAATTCGTTGGAGTCTCGCTACGGGACGTATTATCTGTATTTGAGGTGCTTTCTACACTGGAAGTATCATCCTGGAGGCAAAAATAAAATTTGTTGTACCTCTAGTAATTAACAGCGATATTATTAATTCGATATGACTTCAAAGGTGCACACTTCTAGTAGAAGACGTATAACATACTTTAAAACGTGTAATAATTGTTTATGAGTCAGTTTCAATGTGATTACAAAGTCACATTGTCGAGACAAAAGCTTTGAAGCGTATAATTATACTCACTGCTTCATTATCCGATATATTCATGTTAGTCGCTAAAGACACTTTCACTAACACTAAATGGTCAATAAAAAGTACAGTTTTAATACAAAATATGGATTTTTTTCAATATTTCATGACGGAAACCAGTGGAATCAGCTGACAACGCGTCGAAATGTCAAATGTCAAATTTTCGCGGGAGCGGCCATGTTTTTTATATTCCATTTTTTAACGGAATAGTAAAGAAAGGTAAAGAAGTTTACAAAGGAAAGCTATAGTAATAATTGGTTATTATTTAGTTTTGGTAAGAAATCGTGAAGAAATATATTTACAAGAAATCTAACTATCAATTGACGAACTCCCTCCTACTAATGAATATTTATTTTTAACCGTCATACCATATTTCACGTAAATTATCGGTAAGCTGATTAAGTAAGTTAAGCATACAATTAGAGATGGAAAAACGGCTTATTTTTTTAAACGTTTAAACGTTGTGCTTTTTTACAACGAACGTGCTTTTTTAAACGCTTTACACATAAACGCTCTTTAGTTTGAAGCTTACATAATCGTTTAGAAAAATATTTAAGCGCGTAGACTTTTAAGTTAAAATAGGCGCTTGCAATGTCGACAGCGAAAAGCAAGAGTATAAATGTTTTAAATTAGGTATTATTATTATTAGGATGGCTTCATTTAGGGCCTATGAGGCCCATCATCACTGCGACCATTAAATGATCTATTGTGATCACCACTAATTACAACTCGGAGCCAAGACCAACAGCATTATTATCCTGGCTCCGACAGTTTTTATGTCCTCTGGGTGTGGCCTGTGCCTACCCAGTATGGAACTTCTTACGCCCATTAGAGGGCAGCACTGGGTGAGGAGATGCACAGGAGTTTCATCCGCCTCGGGGCAGAATCTACATTCTCTGTTTTCTCTCTGTCCAATATTTGGCATGTGTTTGTTCAAGCCACAATGCCCTGTTAAGGTTCTAGTCAGCATTCTAATGCCATTCCTGTCCAGTGACATAGCTTCTCTACAGTGTTTAGCACTGAAGGCAGCTATCAGGGCTTTTGAATGCTCAAGACCCTTAGACTGCAGCTACACATCACAGGAGACGTGTGCGCTCTCGTTCACCAAAGTGAGCTTTGTCAGGCTGTGTGCTATCCCTATAAATGGCTCAGGACCAATGAAGGCCTCCCTAGCACCAGCCTTTGCCAGTTCATCCGCTGCTTCATTACCCTCGATGTCAGAGTGACCAGGAACCCAACGCAGGATTACATTATTCCTTTTCCCGAGAGTATTCAGTATAGTTACGCAGTTTCCTACAAACCTCAAAATTGCTTGACTATCTGAGTTTATATAAATATAATTGTTAACGTAGCCTCTATTCAGGTTAAGATCCACACAAGCAATTATATCGTATATTTCGGCCTTTAAGATAGAGGAGTTTCGTCCCATGTTCGGCTTGTAGCTGAGTCTGGGTCTCACGCCGTGTATACCACAGCCTACGTTGGGTTTCATCTTGGACCCATCGGTATACCAAAGAAGGCTACCGTCCTTCCAGGTGAGACTGTTAGTTTCCCAGTCTTCCCTGGTTGGAAATTCTACCTGGTAGAGTTCCTTGAAGTTTTGCTTGGGAAGCATGACATCAGAGATCATTCCCAGAACAGGATGTTCCAGAATTCATCCTGGGCCTATCTCAATGTCTGGGAGAGCCATTTAGTCCTTAACCTGGTGGAGAGCCTATACATGCTGCTACCGGCCTCTTTCTGTATGAATACTTGCAGGGGAGTCAGCTTCAGCAATGCATTTAGGGCTGCTCCAGGTGTAGTGCTAGTCCCGTTGCTAGCAGGCAAGCGACACGCTGTAGACCGCCCAATGTGGCAATAGTGGTTGTTTGACTGACTTTGCCACTCCAAACAACGGAGGTATATGTTACTATGTGTCTCACAATTACCTTGTATAACCAGAGAGTCATCTTTGGTTTTAGACCCCAACGCTGTCCTGCCGTACGACTATAGATATCTAAGGCCATGTTGGCGTTGTTGACCGTGTTAGCTATATGACAGTTTCACCTTAGGGTTTGATCTAGAGTTACCCCTAAGTATTTAACTTCTGCGGAAAAACTCACAGCCCTGCCACCAAGGATCGGTTCCACTAGCTTATCCAGTTTCCGCTTCCCAGTGAAGGGAACAATAGTTGTCTTTTCTACATTAATAGATAGTTCATTATCTTGACACCACGCGGAAATGGTGTCAAGAGCTCCTTGCATAAGTGATGATATAGTACTTTGGCAGTGCCCTCGAACTGTGATCACTAGGTCATCCGCATATCCCTGGGCGTCAATGTTCAGTTCAGCCAACCTGTACAGGAGCTGATCCACAGCAAGAGTCCAAAGGAGAGGAGAAATGACTCCACCTTGCGGGCAACCCCTTACTGCGGAGGCCACAAGCCGGTCCCCGTGTAACGAGATACTTGCTCTGCGGCTTAAAAGTATGTTTTGCACCCATCTCGTAGTGTCTACATCTTTGCAGGTTAGTTCACCTTGTACTCTGGTAAACACCAGAGTACGAGTGGGTGTATTGTCAAAAGCCCCCTTATGTGTAGAAAGGCACGTAGTGCTATTTGTTTGTCCTCAAACGCTCTTTCAGCCCTGTCCACAAGGTGGAGCAGAGCTGTCTCTGTGGATTTTCCACTTTGATCGGCGTGTTGAGTGTGATGGATAGGTCTATATATTAAGGACGGAGCCCTAATGTGATTGTCAAGTACCTTCTCCATTGCTTTAAGCAAGAATGAGGTCAGGCAGATGGGACTTTGCTAGAGAGTAGTCCTTTTTGCCTACCTTTGGTATAAATGCAGGTTGTCCATTGTATCGATATGTGTCCCCAAGCAAGACCGGCTCTAAATATTTTGACCAGGTATGGTAAGAGTACACTTATACCCTGCTGCAGGAAGATGGGAGTAATACTGTCCTCACCGGGGGATTTGTACGATTTAAACGAGGTAATGGCCCAAGCCACTTGTCGAGGTCTTATAATGTTGGCGGCTCTGTTCCAGTCCTCATTGCGAGGTGTATGTACAGTAATTACTGGGTTAGTAAGCGAGTCGCACAAGGCCCCCGGAAAGTGGGTTGACATTAGAAGCTCAAGGGTTTCTGTCGCAGAAGTCGAGTAGGTCTTATCAGGCTTTTTTAACAGTCCTGGTTGATGGGAGTTGGCTTTGGCAAGCACTCATTGTAGACGTGTACCTTGAGCACTAGTGATCTCCTCACAAAACCGCCTCCAAGATGCTCGCTAGCCTTCCTTATCTTCTTATTATAATTGGTTAGGGCCTTCCTGTAAGTCTCCCATTCCTTTGTCAGCTTGGCCCTATTGAAGAGTCTTCGAGTTTTCTCTCTTAGCTTTCTCAGTTTGGCATTCCACCTCGGAACCTTCCTATTGGAGGTCCGACTTTTCGGTGAGCAGCTTTCGTCAAAATCGCTGACGATGCCCCTGGTAGTGACCTCAACAGTACAGGCAAAGTCTAGACTCTCAATAGTTTTTATCGATTTAAGACAACCTCGTAGATACGGTCCTAGACTGCCTCTATAGACGTCCCAGACCGCGTCCCTTGAATTCCTAAATGTAGTGGGATGGCAGACATCTCCTGCTCCCAGATCAAATCTTATATGTTTATGATGCGACATTGACGACTCATCACTAACATGCCAGCCGGTTATAAGTCCGGCTAGTCTAGTCGTAGAGAAAGTAACATCCAGAATTTCTTGTCTTGACCTAGTAACAAAAGTTGGTGTACATCCTTCATTATTAAGATACAGGCAATTTGATAGGATAAAGTCATATAGTAACTCACCTCTCTTATTGATGTCCGAGCTCCCCCAAGCGGTGTGGTGAGCGTTGACATCACATCCTACCAGAAGTTCTGCTTTGTGTTTCTAAGCGTATTCCGCCAATCGTGTCAGATCTTCCATGGGGCTGTTCTTTTCTCCAGGTACATAGGCTGAGCATAAGATTATCTTAGCCCGAGGGCTATTCCGGGGAAATAAATATGCTGCTACAAAGTCGTCAGTAAAGAACTCTGGAACAGGCATAAGGTTAATGTTTTTGTTGTAAACAATGCAGGCTCTGGGTTTGGGACTACCCATCCGTTCGCATCTTTCCTTGCGTGAAGAATCTTCCATACTTCCGTGCGGAGACCTCTATTTTGGGCCCCCAGCAGGCTGATGGCCATCTGTACCGACTCACATCCCTTCTTGGGAATGTAAGTGGTGGCGGTGGTGGGCTTTGGAAGCTCGCTTTCCTTAATCAAGGACAGCTGGGCTTCCGGCCACGGCTTCATCCGGCGTCACAACCGGCAGAGCCCCTCTTGCCGGCTGATGGGCATAAGGTTCCCTTGAGGTACCCTGGTATCGAGGGTGCACCGTTAGCGGCATAGGCACGGTACGCCTAACACCGTTGGATTGGGTGATAACATTTTAGCCAAAGCCTAGCAAATGCCCGAACAAAGTCCAGGCATTTACTAGGAGTTGCCCAGGATGCACCGGCCCATGTCTTCCCTTCCTATAACATCCTGGGATTGCATAGGAATGGAAGCCACACGCTCACGTGGAGGTACGTCGTCCTAACACTCCAATTTAAGTTAGGTAAGTTTATTAGTAAAACACGAGTTTTATTTTTACTATAAAATTATTATTCACATTGGCAAATTAACTTGTTTAGGAAACATAGATGGCGAGACTTGAAACTTATGTATACGTCGTTAACGTTTACGCTTAAATTGAAAAGTGTGCTTATTTTAAAAAACAAACTTTTTAAAGTGCTTTTCGTTTAAACACTTACCTCGACATACAATACATACTTTTTCTCATCGGGGTAGGCAGAGACAACAGTCTTCTACTGTCCTACGGTCCTAACACACATCTTTCGCCTCATCAACACGCATCAGTGCTTTCATACATGCTCGTCGGTTAAGGGTATCATCAATATGAGAAGAATGTGGCTAACATTGGCTACATGTTCGCTAAATAATTTAATGTAACGCTACAGCGTGTTTTTTAACAAAATTAGTGATGTTTTAATATAAAATAAGTTGTTTGTGCTTTGCATATCGACCTATTTTATTGCAGTAACTATTATTTGTACTAGGTATGTGTAGGTATTTTATTTAGTACTGTGACGGTTGAATTAAAGGATTTTATTATGAATGGGAATTTTAAATTTGTAATAACAAATTCTTATAAATAGCTACATATAGTTAAGAATACTTACGTAAAAAAAAATTTGCTAGGAACAGTAACAGGTTCAATCATCGAGTATACTCGATGGGTTCAATACAACTTGCAAAGTGTGGGAAATTTGAAATTTACATATCTTTGAAAATTACAAAAGTTTTGTCTATCGAAATTATAAAAATAAAATTAAATTGTTTTAGTGGAGCAGCTTACATTACACCCTGTTGGTAACATTCTAATTTACATTTACCTGTGTTAGTTATACTTCATTTTACAATATAAGTACAGAAAAACGCCTGTTTGTTTGTTTTACAATAATCATGTACTTAATATTCTCGTTATTGACAATCACAGCCTTAGATTCTTAAATAAACATTCTACAATCATAAAATATCCTAATACTGATTTCAATTTTACATTGGAACTTAAGTAGGTAAACTAAATTTAGTTTAGTTTAAATCAAAAACTACAATTTTTGTACCCCTATGAGCCTACACAATAGATATGCTGAGGTAGATATTGTAATACGATCAGTGTCAAAATTGTGAGAGCGTCGAAACTAACCAAAACTATATCTGAAAATTTGATCATTCACAACCAAATCTTTAATACAAATAGATTTTAAGGTGCGCTTCCGATTATAATTGAAATTATGTTATTGAAAACAATTGCCTGTGATCATTGACTTACAATTATATGGACGTCGGGTCAGCGCTAAAAAGTGTCCGCACTTGTAAGGCGCTAAAATCGTATACAGAGCGCCAAACTCCGCTTTAGTCTTCATTTGTTCGACTGACAGCGCGATACTGCGATGACATTACAATTTAAATTTCGAATAGGTTGACTTGGGACATTTTTTTCGTGGTTTTTGTATTAGACCCGTCGTCCATTTATTTGTAAGTCAATGCCTGTGATACACCTTTATGTTGTTGTACAGAGTTGATTTGGAATCCTACGACACCTTAGGCGCTGAACATTTAGACACTGACCGTACTTACTAAACGTAGGTAAGTCATTATCCGTTAATTCTTATTCTTTAGAACTAAATTTATTTTATGTATTAATAAAGTGAAGGAGGACGACAAACGCAAGCGTGTCGTAGGGCGACTCGAAGCCACGGCAGAAACTGTCCGACCCGGGCGTAAACTCCAGGGTATCCTTGTCTGGCACAACCACGGCCCCATGAGACGATGCCTAAAGACGAGTACAATGATAGTTATTATTTATTAGTTTCTCAGTTTATTTTAAAATAACATAACATTTTAAATATAGCAAAGGAGAAAAAAGACTGTTGAAATCCGTTGTGGACTTGAAATATTTATTTGTATTTGTTAAGGGTGGTGAAATTACAGGCACATGGGACTTGATAACTTATGTCTCAGGGTGTCGGGCGCAGTGGCAGTGCCCCTCTGAGTGGCACTGCAACTATTAGGCACTACCACCAGGCACACGACGTGTTCGTCCCGTCAATTAGTATTATAAAAAAGGGCATAATTATTATTAATAACAAAAATAGAAAACAATCCTTCGATCCGCCCGGGTTCGAACCGACGTCTTCTAGCAAACCGTGTGTGACGTTATGCCAATTAAGCAACAAAATTAATTAGTGGACCCTACGAATTTTTCTATGTGCTTGTAGCAAAGCTTAGTTGGCATAGCGTTTGGCACGGTTTATTAGAAGACGTCGGTACGAATCCGGCCGTCGAAATAATTATAACAAACTAGTGGAGCTCTTTCGCAAAAAATAATGGATACACATATTTCTCCCGGCGTGGGAATCGAACCCAGGACTTCTACATGGCAGTCCGGCGTGGTAACCGTTCGGCCACGGAGGCAGTTAATAAAAAATAATTAAAGTTAATAGAAAATAGCATAATTATTGTTTTTTTTCGGTTTAGGTGGCACTATTTACCTATAAGAGTAAAATGTGGTTGTTGCAATAAGAGAGGTCCTCCTGAATCTCCAGTGCAAGCGTCTCTATCTGGTGAATTTGCACATATCATACGTGGTGTTACTTTTCTGCGACCATAGCCTGCTCCCGAACATTCTTCTTGCGCCCAGATTTGTACTTCCGCCTGTGAACATCACTAGTGCCGTTAACGGTTAAAATTTAAATACATGTGTTGAAAAGTAAAAGATGCCAAGCTTTCTTTTTTTTTTTGACATTGATATTTTGCAGTTGGCCTTGACTGCGCCACGGGATGAAATGGCCGCGCTGAAGGCTCATAAATAGTTATGTGCTCAGCGACATTGATGCCGAATATAAGTTCTACGTACATTAAGAATCAGTCGATTTTCTGTGTAAACTTTTTAAACGTAAGTGTTTTGTAATAAGTTACACTACCTGATTTCAAGGAACCCAGACTTTAAATTAGCAAGGTGTAATGAGAGTACGGAGACAGGGTCCCTAATAAGGGGGACATCTAACTAGGGACCACGTAGAATCGGGTAGTGTTTATGCGGTTTCTGTATAAATTAGTATGTAGATTTAAATGTAGTCAACCGGGCGATTTTTAAATCTTGAGATTTTTTTTCTTACGGCCTGGACTATCGTGGTTAGCGTTTCAGCGTATAGCAAGATTTAGAAGAGAAGTTAAAGGATTTCAACAAAACGGCAATTCTCGGTGTTCACTACCTAATTTCCGTGTCGATTTTTATTATGTAAATATTCAAATATATTATCGTGTAATTATTAAATAATATTTCACGACACAATACTCGAATATTAAACAATATTGCATGATAAAAAAACAACTTAAATAGTAAAAATTGCCACGGAAATTAGGTAATGAACACTATACTCTGAGAATGACCGAAAAAGGGAGAACATGAGTTCATTTTTCATGAGAAAGTAAAAAATAAAAGTATGGAAAGAAAGTGGCATTAATATTAGGTAAACCTTTTTTAATCATTTGTAAAGAAGTTTGAAATTATTAGGATATGCTTACTTTCATAGGAACATTGGACGACGGTCCTTTTTCTACTGTGCTTCCCCAGCCGGAAACTATCGCATTTTGACCTACTAATAAATCTTCATCGCCTACGTCTGAAAATAAATAACGAAACTTTATTTGATATAAGTACGTATAATGTCAACCTCGTTGGATGCCTTGTTCATAGAGCTGAACACTGGTCAAAAGAATTATTTCTAAATGAACAGGCTTTTCTTTGTTTCTTTCTCTTCGCTTTTTGCGGTAAGCGTTTTAGCCACTTACAAAGTGTTTGGACTAACTTGTTTTTAAAATGGGGAAACTTTTATAATATCATGGAATGTAATTTGGACGGATTTCAAAGTTGGAGAAAAAGTGAAAAAGGAATCAGGTGAGGAATTATGAGATGTAAATAAACATGGTATAAATGTAGAATAAATATTATATTATTATTATAGCAGTTAAATTAAGGCTTTTGTTATTAATTATCTGGGTGACATTCCAGTCAATCATCGTTTGCACTTTCGAACGTTCGTTTCTTATTTTAAATTTTTCACCGTAAAGGTTACATTACACTTAATTATGGTATAAATAATGTAATTATCAGAGTGGAAAAAAACAATGAGTCATGAAGGGAAACTACTTTATATGCTTAAGATAGCTAATTTTACTTAAAGGAAACATTCTTCTATTTTTCGTAATAATTCGCACACGAAACCAAATACTGTCGTAAAATTGTGGAATTGTGAAAACGCGATTAGAAATTTAAAAATTTGAATGAAAGCAATATATAACTATTTTCGTTAATAAATGGATACTTAAGTATTACGTATAAATAATCACATTAATCTCAATAAGATCCATTCAGTATTTATTTGTTAATTCTCAAATTGTGTTTTCTCAATTTCACAATTTTGAGCTACGACAATATTAATAATTGCTGGGAATCGAATCAACTAAAGATGCAAAAAATAAATATTTACTAGTTTGTTATAATTATTAATACAAAGATCGAACACTCAGAAAAAACACTCAGAAAAAATTCCTTCGATCCGGTCGGATTCGAACCGACGTCTTCTTGCATACCGTGCCAGACGCTATACCAACTAAGCAACGAACCAACGGATCTCACGAATTTTTCTATGTGCTTGCGTCGTGTCTTTGTACTTGGCCTTTCAACGACTTTTTAGTCGTAGCGCCATCTATGAGAAATCTATTGCAGATTTATCACTTTATTAATAATTATAACAAACTAGTGAAGTAATTTCACAAAAAATAATTGAATATCAATTCAATAAAAATTTAATAAATATTTACTATTTTATTTTTTATCATACTGATTAGTAGGACCATTGATAAAGACAAAATTTCTCCAATAACTATCGTATCTTACAATGAAAAACGTCGTGGAACCACTAAATATACAATCAATCTTTTGTAACCTTTACAAATTTTATTCTTATCATTGATTCTATTGTATGTTACATAGTTAGTGTTTATTTTTTGCATTGTTAGTTGGTTTTAGATTTAAAAAAACTGTGAATATTTATATTAAGATAGTATAAAAAAAAAGATTGTTTCCTTTAAGTGAAATTAGCTATCTTAAGGTTTAACTCACACTGGCTCAGAGTCGAAGCGTCGCGTCGCGTCCTGTTTTTGTCAACGCGCGTCGACGTTTGATTCCATATTTGCATAACACAAATTTGTACCTTAATAATGGGAAAATAGAGATGAATACGCTACAAGCGAAAAACATGACCCGTCGCGACGCTTCGACTCTGCGCCAGTGTGAGTTGAGCGTAAATATTCGTGTCCCATTGATTTTTTCCACCCTGTATAGTAATAATAGTGTCACTGTTTAAATGTTATTTTAGCTTTTTATTTTTTTATTCTTACCGGGTAAACAAGCAGGCCTGTACAAGTTATTGGGTAGAGGTCTAGTTAGGCGCAATACAGCGATGTCATTGTCATAAGTATAGCGGTTGAAGTCGGGGTGCTGAATTACGTGGAGCACTTCGAAACCTTCAGAGCGCGTGTTGTTCATGTCGTATTCACCTACTAGGACTGTCAGGCGGCTGGCTTCAATACTGTGAAAGAGAGTAATACTATTAAATAAATGTTTTGAAGTAAAATTATTTAGTGGTGTACATTAGAGACTAACATGTATTTGTTTTTACGTTAATTTATAGGGCTGTCCTAAATTTTGGACAATAACTTCTAATATTCAGATCTTTGCATTAAATTGCAAGCTTGTTGAGTGGAACAGGGGTGCATGTCAGGAACCTGCACGACGTGCACTACGTACCATTATTTTCCTGTAGGTACCTACGTTTGGCGCATCTTGGTTAGCAACCGGCGATTACCTTACGCCGTTTGGCAAATTCTTACACCATTATAGTGTAATGTCATCGATACGATGAGAAGAAATGGCATTGAAACTGTTATGGATAGTTGTGTCGCTTACCGTCAGCCACACGTCTTGTTCGTCCCGCCACTTCATATCATAAAAACGGTAAATATACATAGGACTTTACATAGGGCGCACTATAAGTTTCCGGAACTGGCCACTTACATAAACAATATTTAAAAAGTAATTACAACATTTGAAAATTGAACTCTTTGGCTGTAGAATACTGTTTACTTCATCTGACTGTCACTTGTTTTTACATTGTGGCGTCATTTTAGAAATTGGTTGTCTACATCACCATGGATTTAACTCGTGAAATTTTTCGTAGTATGATTGATTTTCTACGACTTTAAGTGTAATTTAACAGCCCAGCGGAGTTTCGCTCGGCTTTAAATTGCTTTTGGCGATGAAGTACCATGCAAGATGACTATTTATAGCTGGTTTGCAGAATTCAAACGCGGTCGTGTGAATCTTAGTGACGAATTTCGTGATGGTCGCCTGTCCCTGCTGTGAACAACAAAAACATCGATGCTGTGCACCGTATGATCAAAACAGACAGGCATGAGACATACCATGAGATTCAGGCATAGGCATGAGTCAAATACAATCAATACTACACACACATTGTGTAGTGTGGGGGTGTGAAAAAGCTGTACTCTCGGCGGATCCCACACAATTTGACTGAAGCTCAAAAAAACGGATCGCGTCACTTGGTGCAATGCCATTCTTACCAGATTCAACGAAGAGGAGTCAAATTCGGTGTGGGACATAGTAACAGGTGACGAAACATGGATTTATAGTTACGATCCCAAAACAAAGCAGCAATCGAGCGTATGGGTCTTTTGAGATGAGCCGAAACCAACCAAAGTGGCGCGCGTGCAAAGTGCCTCTAAGCGGATGATTGCTTCTTTTTTTAATGAAACTGGACACGTGGTGTTGCTTTGGAGAATCGTTGTACCGTGAATAGTGATTGGTATACGACCATTTCTTTGCCAGAATTTGTTTGCTTTTATTTATTTTCAAAAATAAGAACCAGTTACGCGGTCAACGGTTTTCTTCACTTGAAGAAGCTGTCGAAGAGTATGAAAAATATATTTCAGAGATTGTCACGGACGAGTGGCATAAATGTTTTCAAAATTGGTTCATTCGTATGAAAAAGTGAATTAACGCTAACGGAGAATACTTTGAGAAACAATAAATTCATTTCATATTAATAGTATTTTTTTCTTATTCATTCCGGAAACTTATAGTGCGCCCCACGTAGATTACAAGATTTACGAATACGAAACAAAAAAACGTCATAATATTTGGACAATATACTACGCAAAAACATTTTTAAGAAAACTAGGCCGTGACATATCACCGAACGCATTGCGTAGGAGGTTTGAATGTCCATGGAGGTTATTTTATTGTGATAGGCTCATGTTGATTCAGATCCACAAAACTGTTCAAAGATATATGAATGAAGTCCTTTAACGTAGTGTATTATCTCCGATAAACATATTTCCTCGCGATGTTTTTGTCTCAAACATTATAGACTGACTACAAATATTTTTGTCGCAGTCCTTTATACAAAATAATAATAATAATAATAATAATGAAACTCCTCGTTAAGGAGCTACTTCCGCCAAAAAATAAGCTTAGCCATCCGAAGAGGAAACATAGCTAGTCTTTTAGCCACGATGCATCTGGGACGCGATTTGAGGAAATTTCCTAGTTTCGATGGATTGAATTTTCACAACATTTCAGTTATTTCTTGTTTTCTGTAATCATGTATGATTAGTGTACTATTTCAAATCTTTAAGGCCATGTAAATATAATAAAGATTAATCTTATTATAAAAGATGTCATAAAGAACTAAGAATAACTTTCCAAACGGTGCCCACGACTGCCACGCAGAGGTCCCGGGTTCTTCCCGGGCCGGGAGAAATATTTGTATGGCCTACATTTATTTCTCTCGTGAATTTGGGTGTAATGTGTGTTTCTCTGTGCGTGTGTGTGTGTATGTGTCCATGACACCCGCGATACAGAGTTTCCCTAGTGCGGGGCGTTTAAAGAGCTAGGACTAAAGAATTTTAGTTGCAATGGAGCTCCGTGTGAAAAAGTTCATCCAGGGAAATACTGCCACCTTAGCTATTTCTGCCGCCAAGCGGTCATGTGGTGTGAGCATAATTGCGTTCCAGTTTTGAAACGGAAGGGTGCTGGTGACATTCTAGGCACATGGAACTTGTCAACTTATGTCTTAGGGTGACGGGCGCAATGGCAGTGACACTGAGATTTGTTTGTTGTTGTTTGCACCGGCACTGCAACTGTTATGGATAGATGTGTCCCTTACCAGCGCAGGCGCACGACTTGTTTGTCCCGTCACTTGGTGGTTATTATAAAAAAAACGTGTTTAACAACACTTTGTTAAAAATCTATGCTATTGGATTGGAGGACGCAGCATTTTAATTTGTATATGATCGGAGTGTAGGTATATAGTACATAATATGTATACTATAGTAGGTACAGGTACCGATAGCGCACCCTGTTAATCATAATGCAGCTGGCATTCTAAGGTCGCCTGAAGCAGGTCAAGATCGCCGCCACGTTTCATTTGTAGATGTAATGTGGCGAATCGATTCTGTCACACATGTGATTTGAATATTTTATCGGCTGCCTGCCCTTAGCCTTCTTTAGAGGAATCTTGGTTAAGGTAAATAGTGAAATATATTTCTAAATTGTTATTTATTTCTTTAAATATATAGTATTTTTGTCATTAGGTCAATGCGAATCCTCAAAAGTAAAAAGACGAAATCAGAAAGTACCTGACACTTCGGGAAACCGACAATATAGATTTTAAAAAAACGTAGGTAACCAGGTTCTATTAAATATATATAAAGATAATGTTTCGAATGATTTTTTAAAATTGATTTTGTTGTATCTCTATAGAGGGTTCAATTCGCGCACTTTGAAAGTTTTCTTAGTAATGACAAATCACAAGAACGACAAGTATTTCAATAAAGACAAAATTTCTTAGAATTTTCTTTTATATTTTCTAATACTTATATTGACTATCACGTCGCGTGCGCCTGGTTATAAGCGACTTACCTGTCCATAGCAGTTGTAGTACCACTCAGAGCTTTAAATTGCAAAGATCTGAGGAGCGCTGCCACTGAGTCCGTCATCACCCTGAGACTCAAGTTGGCAAGTCCCATGTGCCTGTAATTTCAGCAGCAACCTTTCCCTTCAAAGTTGAAACGCAGTAATGCTCACGTTACTGCTTAGCGGCAGAAATAGGTAAGGTGGTAGAATTTCCCTGGGCGAACACTTTCGTAAGTAGCTCTACTGCCATTAAAAGTACCTCTTTAGGATTATCATAATTATATATATATGCACTACTGGATTTAGCACTAACTCTTGCAAATTTTGTTCTTTATTATATATTAAATAAATTGTTTGATTTACATTGATTTATTTAATAAAAGTGGTGATCATCATCTATATGAGTTAGCAGCATGTGTTACCGGCTCCACTGTGCCGTAGGTTTAACATTGTCCGTCGAAAATGTCAATAACGTCTCTACACCACATTTAACCGTTTTGGCTTTAAGGCCAAACTTATGTTGATTTAATTGCATTTCACGCATTATGATACTAATGGTAATAGTAGAAGTAAGTACAAAAATTGGTAGTAAAAACATTGAAATGTAAAATGTAGATAATACACTTTGCCTCGTACATCGTAACCCACACGAGTGTTTTTCTTGTCGCTCCATTTTCAGCTGTTAAATATTTGTTAAACTGGTCTACTTGTTATTTTTTAATGTGGCAAGGTGAAATAGAACATCTCGAAGATCTCTGAAATATATTTGGGTAAAATAGATACGAATAATTAGTATATACCCAACAGCTGTATTTTTATGAGGTTTTTAGCGACGGTAAAAATGCTGATAAGAAACTTCGCAAACTTTTTGGGGTCACCTGTATATGGTCTACTGTGTAATTATATTTTAAATAAAAGAGAGAATCGTGACTAGAGCTGATATATTCCACTTTTTTAAGACCAAAAATAAAAGATGGTTAACCTGTTTTTCGGTATAAATCTCACAGCTCTCAAAAAACGAGCTGTGCCAAGTTTCGCACATGGTCCAACCGTTCAATAAACAACCGAAGTCTAGGTTTGTGGTCCAGTGTGCGTTTCGCATTGCACATATGCAAATGTTTTACAAACAGACGCCGCTCCCAAAGAAATGTCCAAACCAAACCTGAGAGTCCATTACGCAATTAGAAAGCGCACTAAGGTCAGCTTTTGGACCTTAAGGGAGCATTTTTGTTTGTATTACGTTGCATAAACTTTTGAGGGCTATTGACTACTATATTTGAGAAAATATACATACATTACTAGAAATGATGATTTCTTGTTATAGTAAATTGTTGCTTTTGTACATTTTTATGTACTTTCATATTCTGCCCTCCTTGTCTGTCATAAACCCGTTGTCCAATCTGAACTTCGGCAGATACATTGAATCCATGGCCAAAAATGTAGCTAGGAAACTTGGCATCCTTTCCAAAGTGAGGCGTTACTTTTCGCCAGGTCAGTTGCTTCAGCTGTACCAAGCACAAGTCCGGTCGTATATGGAGCACTGCTGCCACCTTTGGTATGGCTCTGCTACATATCAACTGGCCACTTTGGATTCAATTGACAAGCGTGTCAAGAGGTTTATAGGTGACTCGGAATTAGTAGAGGCGAAGCTGCAGAGCCTTGAACACCGCCGTAAAGTTGCCTGTTTGAGCTTGAGAGTGTGCGATGGAAGTACGCGATTTAATTCCGCCTTCCCTTTTCCATCTTTGGGGACTAGACGTAGGCTTGGATTCCAGCCCCTATGTTGTGGATATTCCAAAGATTCGCACGGAGTGTTACGCTTTCACATTTATATGGCTACGGAATGGAATTCCCTGCTTGCGGACTTGTTCCCTGAAAGTTATAACTTGGATCTTTTCAAGGCGAGAGTCAATAGACATTATTTAGGTGTGCATGCTCCATCGTCGACCTCATCGTCACTTTCCATCAGGCGAGATGGAGGTCAAATGCGCACTTACATTTGTATAAAAAAAACAGCGCATTAGCATTTTGGTAACTTTCGACATATTGACACCTAAAATATCTTTTTTGTTTAAAAGATTTAAATTTGCAACTACTGATAGGGGGTTGTAGATCTCGTTTCTATAATTCCAAATATGTTAATAACTCAATTTCCGTCATAATGTTCATTACGTTGTTTATGATAGGGACGGCAGTATTGCTGTCCCATAAAGATCAAAATGCGGGCTCAAGCTCTTCCACCACAGGCACTTGCTTCTGGCTAGATTCTAGGTAAACAATCATCTGAATGTTTACTTAGGTAATATCTAGTCGGATGCAGACCGTCTGGTGACGCTACCGTTGTACTGGTAGTCGGTCGACATTACCAGGCAATTAAACTTATTAAACAAATCTTAATAGCTCGCGTGATGCTTTCTTTAGTCTTTCTTTCTTCGGCCAAAACATTATTTTTCCACTATTAACCCGCTTTTCCAAAAACAAAATATATCTAGTTATAAGATTTTAAACAACCAAAATTGTAAAGAAAACGTTTTTTTTTCGTTTAAGTAGGTAAGTTGATTACCTTACTTGAGGAAATAATTGAGATAAAATATAGAGAATTTCTCGGGGTATGTATTTGTTATAAACTAAAATTAAAATATAAATTTCTATAAAGCGGTAATTATCATAACTATTTTTGCGTTAACTTTGCATATGCAAAAAAGCATATGCTTTGTCACATAACATTATCCAATAACACGGCTTATTTTAGTCCCATGGTTTTTAAATATTAGTCATGAATATTTAACAATAATTACTAAGCAATTATTAGATGTGCTTTGACGCTTTGGACATCGTATTTGCAAACAATGGGGCGAAAGTCGATAATTATTGACTAAAGGTTCGCCATCATCGTTGCCGTGCTACAGAAACACTCTAATTTCGATTGTGGTGATAGTATAGTAATACTAGCGAGAGGTCGGAATTGCATATGTAGGTAGTGGTATTTGTGAGTTTACAGAAGAATCGAGGTTGTATTTGTCATTATGTATTTGTCGTTTTGTGCGAATGGCACACCATTACATGCAATTCCGAGTTCTTGTAAAAAAGAATTAATTAAATGTAAGTTAATCAAGTCAATGTTGACGTCGCGCAAAACGTACCTACTCTTTGAAGTGTAGTATTTTTCGTTTTCTTTTTTTTATAATACCAAGTCACGGGATGAACAAGTCGTGGGCCTGATGGGAAGCGATACGCCTGTCCATAACAATTGCAGTGCCCCTCAGAGTTTTAAAACGCAAAGGATCGGAGGGGCACTGCCACTGCGCCCGTCACGCTGAGACATAAGTTGACAACTCCCATGTGCCTGTAATTTCACCAGCACCCCTACCCTTTAAAATATAAAGTAATGTTTCAAAAGTGTAGCTTCTTTATTGTAGCAATAATACTAATACTCTGTGGCGTTTACGATAAGAACCGTCCAAAGGCCAAAGTTTCAAGATTGATGGGCTCTTGACTGTTGCTCAATGATAAAAAAAACATTGATTGCCAAGTTAGGAAAATGTTTGCCTTTTATGAAGGGCCTGAGTACAATTATTATCAGAGGGGCTTGCACTACAGAGATAAAATCTACATGTCAAGGAGGTTACGTACAGTGCTTTGAAATGATATGGAGTCTACAACCCTCATTGCGTCGAGGCAGACCTCTTCTAACAGACCCCCCACACTAGCGTCTTTCGAGCGTCAACGTCTTGCCAATGCACGCACAGCGTCGACACGACGTTCGGTATTGTACAGCACAGCAGACGTCGTGTCGACGCTATGCGTGCATTGGCAAGACGTTGACACTCGAAAGACGCTAGTATGAGGGCTCTCCAAGGAGCTCTAGCTCTAGTTCAAAGTCTAATCGACTACGAGCTGAGTCAAGAGTTGATGGACTTTTCGAAATTAATCCAATGCCATATGACTGCAACACGACTCTGCCACAAAGATGATCGTTACCAATGGTCGGAATAGCGTTATCAATGAGCAGATAAATGTCTACAAGGAGTAACATAGATATTATATTAATTAATTACTTTTTTCGATTTCCGGAATTCCGGAGATAGTTTTCTGCATTGTAAGATAAAATTACTCACTTAGGAAGCTGAAGTTGAATTTTAAAGTAATTCCAGGGGCGCTAATGTGGAAAAATATAGTACATAATTATATAGTACCTTTCACCAAAGTAAACATTTTTTATGAACTACAAGTAAGTATATGGGTGGTTTTTTTTTTACGAATTTAGATAAGTTTAATTATGAATTTAAATAACATTAATTAACATTTGTTATTTTAATCACTCCATGTAACTCCCTGTATCTATATGTAGACATTTATACAAACATTCATTTGGAACATCCTATTCCGACCATTGATAATTACATAACACCTAGTTGTTTTTATCGCTTTGATTAGAGGCAGTATAATGATACAAACCATATGGAACACAACTGTCGTCATTTTGTAACCGAAGAATTTAAAAAATCAATAATATTCTATATCTCTTTTAAATAAATGTCCGTCTAAACGGTGGAGTTTCACCGCTAGTAAACTCGCGTAAGTCGAATGCGCGTTTGTGTACTCTTCAAGGGAAAACGATAAATAATTAATAAGCTGTTTTCGTTTGGAGGTTATTGGAAGGAATTTTCTATTCTTCTACTTACCCATAAACGCAATGCGTGGCAGTAATAAGATGATCCTTAGCGACAACTGTAGCTCCACAGATGATCTTTCCATCCCGCCGTAGTGCTGCCAGCCAGGGAAACTCCCCAGGGAATACCGTTTCTCCGCCGACAACGCGACCTCCGCGAGCCACACCGCATGCTGTGAACACGATTATAATTATATACTGAACAAGTGTAGACATTTAATTGTATTATATTTTAAAGTTATAAACTGCAAAGTATTAATAACTACTTAACTCGGTAGGTAAATGACATTTAAAAGATAATTTCTTGTCGGATGATTTTTGTGAAGACTTTTTATTATTAGTTATTTTTTGACGATTGGCTCAAAAATACCAAGTACCTAATGCCGTAAAATCTATAGATACAAAAAAAATAAACATAATATGTAATTTTAACCAACTTCAAAAAAAGGAGGAGGTTCTCAATTCGACTGTATGTTGTTTAATTTTTTGTATGTACATATGTTACGCGATGACTTTTGTGAACCGATTATGATGATTCTTTTTTTGTTGGAAAGAGGGCACCTCGGTAGTTGTCCCATTTACATTTGAAGAAAATATTCCACCTCTAAGGGCCGTATTCCAGAACTCTACTCAATGCTCAAATCAGGACTTGAGTGAGCACAGTGAGCACTGAAAATCATACTCAAGTCCTTGCCATTAGGGTCGTATTTCCAGTGCTTGAAATAATACTCTGCTCAAATCCTCACTTGAGCATTGAGTAGAGTTCTAAAATACGAGTGTAAGTGTAGTAAACTAGGTGATGGAGCCGGTTTCGCGCTTTTTTGAGGTCGGTTTTTCAGATACTCTGTACTGAAATTATTACGGAACGCTTTCATATAAGTATAACAGTCTCATGTAAAGTACAAAAGTACAATAATGAAATTTGATCAATGGCATTCGCGTGACATATATAACGATTAGGTTTGATCAAAGTTTGTAATAATTACTTATAAATAAATAATAACGCACTCAACATAGCACTAGGGAAACCCTGTGTCGCGGGTGCCATGGACACACACATAGGCAACCACAAATTACACCCAAACTCACGAGAGAAATAAATGTAGGCCACACAAATATTTCTCCTGGCCCGGGAATAGAACCTGGGACCTCAGCGTGGCAGTTCGGCATGGTAACCGTTCGGCCACAGAGGCAGTTAACGTGGTTATGAATCGCAGTTAGGGTCATTACAAACGTACACAGCTTAAAAACAGTACACCTACTTACTTATTGCCAATGAGAGGGTTATCAGTCAGGGAAAGTTTTTCATAAAAATAAAGTTAATTTCACTACCAAAGGTAATGCGAGAATGCAGCAAGTTAAGCAACCTTGATTCTCATTCACAACTTTCATCGTCACCTGCATGCATAAACATCGCACCCAATAGGGCCAACAGCATCAATTTGTTCACTAAAATCGGAAAGAGAAAATTGTATGGTGCGAAGTGTCGATTTTAATAGTCGTGAAAGTCCTTGTCATTTAGGACATTTAATTTATCTTTTACCTACAAGTAGGTTGAATTTCTGAGAGTCACGTAAGGATAAAGTTGCATCCACACGGCGTGTTGAAAAATTTGTTAAAAAATCAGATTCCTTAATTGAGCAGGTGTGCAATATTAAAAGACCTTTTTTTAATGGCTTTTTTATTGTTTATGGTTGAAGAGGTACTGTGTCGTCAAATGTCGACTACGTTTTCTTGAATTACGTATCTTTGATGAACAGAATAATGTATGAAAAAGTTAATTTCTTTTTTCTTGATTTTGGAATTTTGTTACCATTTTTATTTCGAAATAATTATGTTGATATATCTATTTATATCTTTCCATGTCTTCAATCGACTGCCGAAAAAAGACATCGTTTCCATATACATATAGATGCATTGTATACAAATAAAAACTGCGTCTCGTGTTTTAAACTATTGGGTAAGGCGTTACGACACCACGAACATTCACAGATAAGACAAGATTCCATTCATATTTACGTTTCATGTGTCCACGGACACGGATGTCCTTGTCGTTTGATCTAGATTTTTGTTAATATGTACTTGAGTTAAGATGTTTTGTAAGAATAATGTATTCATTTATATTTTGCAATTATTTTGTTTATTTATTTGTTTAGGCTGATAACTGTATGAAATAAAAGGCCTACATATTGTTTTTACCATTTGCAGACTAACCTTCTTACATGGATGTTAGTGATTTGAAACAGTTTCCTAACTACAACAGAATCAAAGTTCTTGCGCGGTGACACATTTTGTATTTGGAATTTAGAAGTTCTTAGTTTCCTTCTTTTTATTTTTTTTCTTTAAGGAAAGGCAAAGGAGACCGTTCATACAGTTAAGTCTGTTGTGTCATAGGCCACAGAAAATGTCATTAGAAACCCTGAACACACATACACGTCCCGGTTTTACCGCTTTTATTTGAAACATCGTATGTTTCGTTTCAGTTTTAAAATAACGTATTTGATAAATGTCCAATTATATCACATTTTACCATTATCTGCCCGATTTAATTTGATTTCACGGGTCACATATCGATCTTTGATCAAACGTTACATTCTAAGCGCTTAGGTTTCAAGTTATAAGTAATGTCTATTGTGAGATGTAAGAATGTCAATAACTGTTAACGATCGGTATCTGCCATGTTTTTTTCAAAATTCCCCGATAGTGATATTTACTTGATCACCTGAGATCTACTTCCAAAGTACCGAATTAACAAGTCAATAAAATATTTATTATTCTTTAAATAACTAAAACCTTTTATGTATCCTATATAACCGACTTGCTCACCGGTTTTCATGGTGTCGCCATCTCTGAGGTCCCGGGTTCGATCCCCGGCCGGGATAGTGTAGAAACCAACTTTTCTATATTGTCTCGGGTCTGGGTTTTTGAAGTACCGTCGTTGTTTCCGATTTCCATAACACAAAGTGCTTTAGTTAGTTACTTTGAGATCAGAGCAACGTATGTGATATTGTCTAATATTTATAACAAAATAACTTTACATGCTTTGCGGACATAATAAAAGGAAACGGTAAAACATAATTCAATTACAACTAATAACAGTTCTCTTAGTAAGTAAGAAATACTCAATAAGTCAAGTTTTTTATCTAACACCATGACTGTCCTATTCCATTCACAAGAAGTCTACCGTTATGATTCAGCGGTAGGGACAAAGGTTGCTTACACCGTTATTGTTTGAAATTATTGATCTAAGGTGGTTAACACACATAACGGTTACACACGCCAGTTTTTAGCAGCATGTCTGTAGCGATTCAGACACGATGCAGTAACGATGCAGTCGCTAATCGTCTACTCTTACACCATAGATATAGGAAAAAATATATCTATGCCTGATACACTAGCGCGACTTATACCGACATACAAACCGACTTCAAGAAAAGGAGGAGGATCTCAATTCAACTGTGTTTTTTTGTATGTTATGTACGCGATAAGTCTGTATGTTTTTATGTGTATGGCATTTGTGAACCGATTTTGATGATTCTTTTTTTGTTGGAAAGAGATCCCATTTAAATTTGAAATAAAATATTCCACCTCTAAGGGTGGCAAACTAGGGGATGAATCCGGTTTCGTGCACTATTTCAGTAACCGATTTCAATAAAACTTGGCAAATAGATGTAATTCCACGAACTTTTGGAGTCGGTTTTTTAATTAGAAGTGAAAGTCACCTTATTTAAAACCTACTGCCAATCATTTTATGCCTGCAATCTGTGGACGGCATTTACTCAAAAGGCATACAGCGCCCTACGCGTCCAATATAATAATGCATTCAGGATGCTGTTGGGGCTGCCGCGCTACTGCAGCGCGTCAGCAATGTTCGCAGAAGCCTTTACGGATAGCTTCCAATCCATTTTAAGAAAGCGACAAGCGTCCCTAATGCAGCGGGTGCGCGCCAGCACCAACAGCCTCCTTACTACAGTAGCAAATAGAGTTGATGGCCCTTTCAATGAACGTCTCAACTCGTTGCATGTAGTGCCCTCTAAGTGGGCTGTAAAGTAAAATGTATTCGTAAATAAAGTAATAAATTCATGTAATAAAGTAAACAAAGTAAACAATGTAAATTACTAACATAGTTTATAAGTCTGTTACTAATTATATATGGATTCAGGTCCGAAATAAATGCTTATTATTATTATTATTAGTGCTCTGTACCTACTGAGATTAGTGACGATTTAAGACAAGCGTCTGCATCGATGCAGTCGCGCATTTGCATCGACAAAATCGCCTAAAAATCGCTAGTGTCGCGGTGCAATCACACTAAACTAGAAGTCGCCATAACGGTTCATAGACGTGATGCGCGGCGTGGAACCTTGTTATTAAAAAGTATTAACTTTGTATGTTTCTGCACGTTTTTTTTGCATTTTCGAGACTAGATTAATGTTTTAAGTCTCGGGAACATCGAGACTTTTGAGACGTATTAAAAAACACTAAACTTTAGCAGTCATTTTGGTGAAATTAAGGCGCATGGGACTTATCAACTTATGACGGTGATGGGCGCAGTGGTAGTGATCCCCTCAGATCTTTGTGATCTAAAGCTGGATGCTCATTTGTCAACCAGCATAATCATAGTTTTGTGGAAATGTCAGGTTTGTTCTAAAATTTACTTGTAAAATAAAACTTTTGTTGTTATCACCTCAGGAATGGTGAATTGTTGTGATTTATTACGATAATTCCACAACAACAACAAGCACAACTGCAAAAGTTCATTCACTATGAACAAGCACAACTTCATTCCCTATGAAGTGAATGAAGTTTTTTTTACGTACACACCATGGCATGGACGCGGTGCCACGGACACACACAAAGGCAACCACAAATTACACCCAAATTCACTGAAGAAATAATAAATGTAGGCCATACAAATATTTTTCCCGGCCCTTATTGTTTATTCAAACTGTCTAAATAAAGTAACCTATTTAGAACAAAATACATCTACCGCAGTCATAAAAACTTTGAGAAGCTTAGCTACACTAAATTGGCAATTAACTCATGGTAGTAAGTTAATCAAGGTTTTATAACGGTGAAGAAGCCATATTTTTCCACTGCCTTATAGTATAACATTTATAAGCGTGTCAGAAAAACTATAACTCTCGTATCGGACAATGAAATACGAATTTCGGAAACATGAAAACTCACTTAATTTAAATGGATTGAGGTGAATCTTTAAAAACGTTATTAAGCTGCCTTTTAAATTGTTTTGTTAATTATAGATTCCAGTAACTATATGAAAAAGGATTCCCAAATAGCAACAGATAATGTGGCAATATGTTAATGTTTTATTGGAACTTTGAACTTAAGGACATGTTTCATTCATTTCAACGTCAAAGTTACGGAATAGTTCAATTATTATATTATCACTATTCTTGTATGTAGACTCAATAGTGGTGTTGGGAAAAGCGTCTTTCATATCCACGACATAATATTCCATTTTACGAAAGCGGGTTTCGATTTCCCCGTATTGAAAACTACCTCGTTTGGCTCACAACATATATATAATAATATATATATATATATATATATATATAATATAGCCTTTACACAATACTGCCATTTTGAAAGGGGTGATGATTACTTGAAAGGATGACATAAGAACACGATTAAAGCTTTCTTCACTTACCTGATTTAATGATTTGTGCATTTGTAATAACCGGTTTTTTAAAAATACTGTCGAACACATTTTTTTTATGTTTAATAAATAAAAATAAAACAATACGAGTCTTGGCCATTAATTAAAATCAATTTACTAGGGCCAATAATTACAGCGTAAATAACAACTTTAATCATTTTGTGATTATTTTCCTGTAATAATAATTAATAGAAATTATATTTTCGCGGGCTTTCGAAGTACGTGACACTTTTTTTAATATTAAATTTCGCGGCTTTTCGGCACACGTTAACGTCGGCACATTTTCTACAATTTTCACAGATATCCAATTGGTAGACACTCACTGCATGGTTTGCAGGCGCGGGCGGCGGTGACGGCTGCAAGCACGAGGATACACACGCGGATCATCGCTTGTGGAGCTTGAGTCAGGTCTGGAGGCGAGGGGAGACGCCGGGCCCGCTATTATAGGCCGCGAGCGCCGCCTCCTCGGCCTCGCTCAGGCCAGGGTAAACGCTACGGGCCAAGTTCACGGATACCGCAACACTGGCACATGTTGAATAACATACAGCCTCTATCAGTTCACAAGCACACATACCCCACTACAAAACAGTTTTTTTTTGCGGTGGGGTAGTTACCTTGACATGCTTTAGTTATATAAGCTGAATTATTGTTAACTTTCAGGTTTCGATAAATGTATTTTTAAATCTATATTGCGATATTTGTTTGCTGGCAATGCAACTTTTTGTTTTTTTTTGAGTTTTTTTTATAGAGTTGTAATTAATGGTACCTATGATTAGATGTTTTGCTGTTTTTTAACTAAAGTGTTAGGCAAGGTGATTATGTCAGGCATAAAACAAAAAAGTGCTAATAATATATCTATCAGAGTTTGTGGTTTACGATTATCTGAATATTTTTTGTTATATCTAAAATGTAGGTAGAACTACCTTTCCAAGCAACGTGGTAATGTTGGATGAAAAACAGAACAGATTTATTATATAATCTATCTATTAGCTTTTTTGGTTTACGATTACTGGAATATGTTTTGCTCTGTTTTATCTAAAATACTTATGTATTTTATTAGCCAAAAATTCCGTGCGTTATCAAATTAAGTTACAAAAGAAAAACATTAAAAATATAAAATGTATTGGCCTTGTTGAACTACAATCGCCATCAAACAATAATTGCTATTTTTTGGAAATTTTGAAATTCCCTTCCGTAAAAATTAATTACTTTACTTGTAAAATACAGCTCTTAGGTGTCGTTTTATGGTATCTTCGCTAACAGAGTCGTGTAGGTACATTTAAAGAATTTTGTAAGTTCGAAATGAAAATCAGAACGGGTTACGTCTTTGTCGGGCGAATAAGATGGACGAGGTAAACACATCCCATAGTTTTTGACGGCTTTGTACAGATGTGTGTGGTTTGACATTATGATGATGAAATACCGCTTCTTTACTTATCACCACGTATGGATATTTTTCTTAAATTAGACACTTAAAATTTTCCCGCCTACTCTTAAAATGCGCGCTAAAATATTAGTTGTAACATAACCATCGACAATGTAAATTTTTTAAAGAAAAATGTTCACTTTTATTTTAAAGTTAGCTTAAACACAATTTTTTCCAAGACGTAGACGATTTTACGCGGTCGTATTATTTGTGGTTCTTTCATCTACAATAGGCAGAATAGGCCAATAATTTGCATTGGATTATGCACGTGATACTAATGAGGCCATTTGTGAAAATATAAAAAAAAGACTATAATGCAATATTATTATTACATTATATTATAATAATGTTATTTAGTAGCAGCAGTAGAGCTCCTTGTGAAAGCGTTCATCCAGTGAAGTGCTGCCACCTTACCAAATTCTGCCGCCAAGCAGTAATATTAGCATTACTGCGTTCCGGTTTTGAAGAGTAAGTAACTTATGTCTCAGAGTGACGGGCGCAGTGGTAGTGCCCTTCAGATCGTTTCAATTTAAAGCTCTGAGTGGCACTGCAACTGTTATGGACAGACGTGTAGCTTACCATCAGGCGCAGGACTTCTTATTATCCCGTCCCATCACTTGATATTATTAAAAAGCTTTCAAGGGAAAGGAATCAAGAAATCATGATAATTAACCTATTGACTCGTATAGTCGTCAACTCACTTTACTTACTTACATGATATCTTCCAATTTCGGTAAAATTTATAGGATTATTCACCAAACAAGGCATATCGTAATACCAGTTTCTCGAGTATGCAAATGTAATGTGCATTTTGTAAAATTTTCGACTTCATTAAAATTACATGGCATACTTTTGTACTACGAGGCATTCGGGTAATTTTTTAACTTTCAATTGCTTTGTTCGCGATCGTCGTTAATGAAACGTCGGTCCCAATAGTATTTTTTTAAGATATCAAGTGATGGGACGAACAATCCTGTCCACAGCAGTTGCAGTGTCACTAGAGCTTATATCGCAAAAAAGATCTGAGGGGCTAACACTGCGCCCGTCACTCTGAGACATAAGTTGACAAGTCCCATGTGCCTGTAATTTCACCAGCACCCATACCCTTCAAAACCGGAACGCAGTAACGCTAACATTATTGCTTGGCGGCAGAAATAGGTAAGGTGGGCAGTACTTCCCTGGACGAAATCTTTCACAAGGAGCTCTACTGCTACAAAATCTAATTTTAATGGCCTCTATTGTAATGTAAAATATAACTATTTTTACTTACAATTACAAAACCGAAATCGTCACATTCATTAAAATCTACATGCTCATTCGCAAGGTAGTTTCCACTGAGAAAAATGAATGAGAAACTTTAAAAAAAAAAAAAGGGATTGCTCTATAAACATTTTGTACACATACCTCATTCGAATTTTCCGTCTTACCTTCCTTTAATAAGAATAAATTTAATTTGGTAAAATTATATTGTAAAAAGAAATTATGAAACGTATGTTCGTGGATGTTCTTTGATAATTGAAAAGTATAGTACATTATTGCAGAGGCCGGGAAGTAGGGATTTCTGGACGAGTATGATTTACAAGAACGAGCGCCAGGGAGGCTTGTATTAATACGAGTCAAGCAATCCCCGTTCCCGCCGAGGCATGTATAGAATTTTTCTCAAACAATGTGAGGAAATAATAAAAGACTAGAGAGAGGAAAATGTATAACAGAAAAAGTAAAAAAAAAAAATTATTAAAAGTATTATATGACATATCAATATAAACACAGTTTCCGAAAACGAATTAGCATATTTTTCGCTTCTTCATTGCATGAAAGTTTCCTGTTTGCATGTCATGCTTTGTTCATAGCCGTCAAAAAATTGCCATGGCTAATATTGCCGCTTGTTTTAATTCATACTTTGTAACTCATACTCGTCCAGCAATCCTTTACTTCCCGGCCTCTGCAGTAATGTACTATAAATTAACGACTTTTGTAACTAGTAAAAAATAGGTTGGTTTGCATTAGGTTGCATATATTTGACATAACCGATTGATGACTTTACTATCTCAGTCAACCGTTGCAATGGGCCTGTAAAGGGGCGGAAACGTTAGTTTGTTTGAAAAAATAAATACATAGGGCGCACTATAAGTTTCCGGAACTGGACACTTCCATAAACAATATTTAAAAGTAATTACAACATTTGAAAATGGAACTCTTTGGCTGTAGAATACAGTTTGTTTCATCTGACTGTCACTTGTTTTTACATTGTGGCGTCATTTTAGAAATTGGTTGTCTACATCACCATGGTTTTAACTCGTGAAAATTTTTGTAGTATGATTTTCTAGGACTTTAAGTCTCATTTAACAGCTCAGCGGAGCTTCGCTCGGCTTTAAACTGCTTTTGGCGATGAAGTACCATACGAGACGACTATTTATAGCTGGTTTGCAGAATTCAAACGCGGTCGTGTGAATCTCAGTGACTAATTTCGTGATGGTCGCCGTCCACTGCTGTGAACAACAAAAACATCGATGCTGTGCGCCGTATGATGAAAACAGATGGGCATGTGACATACCATGAGATTCGGGCATTTTCAGGCATAGGCATGAATCATATACAATCAATATTACACAAACATTGGGTAGTGTGGTGGTGTGAAAAAGCTGTATCTCGGGTTCGATTCCCGATAAGACCAAATTTGGAAATGAATTTTTCTCAAATGCTTGTGATCTGGGTGTTCTGGGAAGGTGCTCCAGAGTGAATACCTTTGTTATGGTACTTATAGTATACAGGGAATTCCCTAAATTAACTATGAATAAACCAGGCAATTGGTGTGGTTATCTGGGATATTATTATTATTATTATAATTATATCTAATGTAGACTCTCGCCTCTCCCAAGGCCTAAAAGATTAATATTTTTTAATTATTTTTATTATTTTGTTTTTATTATTGTTATCATTATTATTATTTACTTTCTTCAAAAGTGCAACTTCCTGAAACTGAAAATTACACTTGAAACCGTCTTATTGATTAAACACTATAGCTCTTTCGTAAGGCAGATTCCCCTGAGAAGAATGAGCAAGAAATTCTAGGCGTTGCTCCTTGTAAATGATACATTTGAATACATTTCTCTTTTACAATAGACATACATCTATATTGATATATATTTTAAACATCTTAAATAGAGACTATATGCAAGAGTTAAACCGGTCATTACTATGATTTTTGTCACCTAATTACCCAGAAACTGTATAATAATCTTTGGTATAAAGTTTTTGTTTCACTACAGTTTTAAACTTCGTAAATGGCAAATTTTGAATATCAACCGGAATCTTATTGTAGAAGCTCATACATTGCTCGATTTGTGACTTTGTGAAGACGACTGTAAAGAACAGCTAGTTTATTTATATTCCTCGTGTTATTTATCTTTTTTTTCATAAAAATATTACCATTCTTCTTAACATAAAATGTACTTCAATCTAAGAACTTACATTAAAGTATAAAATAAAAGTAACGCATATTCGTAATCATGTACACATTACCCTTGGCATGTGTACCTTTGGACATTGAAGGTAAATAAAATTAAAACACCCCAAAGGCCCTTTGGTAATTTTTAATTTCCTGCAAAATAGGAAGTTACGCCTGCCCTTATGAAACACGTGTTTATTTGGTTCAACCGAGCCCTTCCGTTGTTTTATCAGGAATTATCTTTATTGTTATTTGCTAAAGACTCTTCATTTACTTTGAACATTTCCTCATTTATTTGATAAAACATAAGTTTATATTTATTTAAATCAAGCAACTATGATCCATATAATTCATACTGTAAACACGAATTTGCATGTACCTAAAAAAACTAAATACCTATATTTGAACTTATCGACGACGTGTGGTGCAATATGGTGTCTGGTAACCGACCTTGGAGTCGCCGATATGCGACTCTCTTCGGCCAAAACCCATGCTTCATGAAGGTCGACAGATAATCGGTAGGCACTCTCCACAAACGAATTAAAATTCTCGTTGTGGCGGGACTCAAAACCGTTTTAATTTGAATATGATGTACTCAGCTATCACCTCAGACTTCATAGAGTTATGCAGTAGTATAGCAGTGTCGTCGGCAT